GCAAAATGAGATGACCACCTCAGGTGTCAGTGAGGCAGGAATTTCCATATCAGAAACTTCACCCTTACTTCAGCTCAGAAACAGATTTACTTGTCTGGTTGTGGGACCTTGATGGCTAGGCCACATAGCACCATTGGTTGTTGTGGTGTAGGTACTAACAGGCTCAGGTGGCAATAACCTAGGTATGCTCCTTGCCTTAAGCCTTTGTCATGTGTCGATCAGCAGCTGGGCACACCTGACCTCATCAGACGTTCTTAAGTAGACTTCCACACATTCAGCTTGTACCTGATGAAATGTTTTTTTTTGTTTGTTTCACTGCTGTGCATATAGGAATTCTTTCTTTAAAGGTATTTGAATGTGTTGGGATGACTTTTCTCTGTCCTGGCCATTTGCACATTTTCTCATTTTCCTTGCTTGATGCCTGCATTGATCATCCACCTTTTTAACTCTGATTTCATCTCACATTTGTGCTCTATGCCTGCTTTTGCCTGAAGCCAGTTCTGAATCCTTGGCGACACAGTGAGTGTGCAATATCTGGTGCAGCTGTACATAGAAACCAATCAGCTCCCAGATGTTATTGTCAAAGCTTAATTGAACAAGAGGAAGTTATATGTTTATTGGCTACCATGCACAGCTGCACCAGATTCTATGTGCTCCAATTTTAGTAAATCTCTCCCAGTGAGTCCACAGTACCTCCTGGGTGCAGAACTGATATTGTTAAAAAATGTTTGTTTATAAACAGCACTAATCCAACTTTGACTTTATAAAGGAATGCCTGCTACAGAGTAAAGGCACTGTTTTTATTTACATGAATAGATTCATTGTGTGTGTAGGTGTATATCTCCAGTTAAAAAACATTTCATTTGAATGTAAAATGCACTTTTTATATGCTGAATAGAATAGAATAAACATACTGCTGAGAAAAATGCTTTTGGCTAAAAGGTTTATTTGTTGTCGTATTCAGAACTAGGGTCAAGCAGACAAGATGCCCACCTAGGATGAAATATAAAGATTTTTTTTTTTGTTATTTGTAAAAAAACGCACTGATTCAGAGTCAGAAAGAGACTTATTTCACTGTCTACCTAGTACAAAGCATCTAATAACAGATGAATAGCTTTGATTTTCTTTCACATTTTGTAACTGAATGCATGTTAATAAATCAATACAACTAACCTGTGCTGCTATAGATGAAAGATGAATGTGGTGGTAGGGACTCCACTGACATAAACCCATGTGTGGACACTGTTGTTTTAATTAGAGTAAAGGTATATTTTTACACCGAATTCAGTATATAGAAGGGTAAGCTTCCAGTACATGAATACATAAACTGAATGTTGTCACTGTGTGAGCCTTGTGAAGCAGATGCTCATTATGCACATTCATTTTCTTTGTAGACACAAATATATTATAATGTGCTTTCTTTAAAGTGATCTTATCTAATTGGTGCATCCCATGGTGAGGAACAGTTTTGAGATGACTGATACTTCTTGCTTAATTATATTTTTTCCTTAAACCTTACTGTGTTACATTTAATATACAGTATAAAGTAAGTAGTCTTACTGTTCCTACTCAGCATTCAGCCAGTATTAAATTTTATACTTTTTTCCTATTTTTATGATTTAAAGAAGCTAGGTAAAGGTGAGAACAATAAGTTGTGCTGGATAGTCATGATTGCAAAGATGTCCTTATGTGACCCATAGGCGTGAAATTCTAATTATCCCCATGTATGCAGCATAGTGCGGTGAAATAAATGTATGCAATATATTTTGTCATATTTATTAATTTGCAACCATCAAGTTGTACCTGGGCTATTTCCAAAACTGAGTTTTATTCAATTGGTGAACACCCGTATATAGTTTTTAAATTTGTAGAGATCCACTTCAAATGTGTAGCTTGCAGAGAAGTAGTCCAGACTAGAAACTGCATTGTAAAGATTCCATTGAGATTGAGAAAAAAAAGCATTCTCCTCTGGGTGATCTATGTACATTGCAAGGATTTTAACAACCTTTGTTGCAGATTCCTGCCTTTTGTATTAAAAATAAAAATAAGAAATAGCTGTTTGTTTGTCTCTATTCATATGCAGAGTGAATCTGTAGGTAGTGATACATTCATAACTATTCATAATTATCAATCAGTTGCTGCAGTTGCAGGTTTCTAATGAGGAAAGTGGCACAGTTTATATCCCTTAAGACATGATTCCCTTTTAGAGTAACTCACAAAAATATGACATTTTTGTTACAGGAGATGCCCAATATCTAACTTGTATATTAGTGCAGACTTCTGGGAAAATCAATCAATCACACAAGCAGGAAATTATATTTTCACCATTTGTTTACAGAACTCCTCCAGGTTGCCATATTGCATTGCATTTTACAGATCATGACAGGGCTGCAGGTTGAAAAGGAAAGGTCATTTTTAATAACATACAATTACATTATGACTTGTATAGCAATTGTATTTCTATAGTATTTATTTATTTTGCAATTTTTTACCTCGAAATTAAAGTTACTCTTTAAGGGCTTTCTGTCTATGTTTATACATCAATCAGCCATAATTTTATGACGACTGACAAGTAAAGTGAATATCATTGATTATCTCATTACAATGACATCTGAAAGTCAGTGGGATATATTAGACAGCAAGTAAACATGTTGTCCATGAAATTGATGTGTTGAGAGCAAAAAATAATAGGCATCGCAGTTTGTTGTGTATAGAGTTGCATAGCTGCAGACCAGTTAGGATCCCCATGTTGATCCGTGTCCACAGCCTAAAACACCTACAGTGGGAATATGAGCATCAGAACTGGACCTCAGAGCAATGCAAGAAGGTGGTTTGGTCTGAAGAAACACTTTTGTTACATCATGTAAATGGCTGGGTGCATGTGTGTCGCTTACCTGTGGAAGGATGGCACCAGGATACAGTCTGGGAAGAAGACAAACCAGAGGAGGCAATGTGATGCTTTGAATGATGGTGTACTAGGAAACCTTGGCCCTACCATTCATGTGGACGTTACTTTGACATGTACCACCTACCTAAATACTTTTGCTAACCAAGTACACCCCTTTATGGAAAATGTATTTCCTGATGGCAAAGGCCTCTTTCAGCAGGATAATGCACCCTACCACACTGCAAAAATGGTTTAAGAATGGTTTGAGGAAGTTCAAGATGTTGACTTGGCCTCTAAATTCTCCAGATCTCAATCCAATGGAGCATCAGTGAGATGTCCTGGAAAAACTAGTCTGATCCATGGAGGTCCCACCTCACAACTTACATGACTCAAAGGATCTGCTATTGAGGGCTTGGTGCCAGATACCATAGCATACTATCAGAGGTCTGATGGCGTTCATGCCTTGATGGGTCAGGGCTATTTTGGCAGCAAAAAGGGGACTCAATAATAGGAGAATGGTCCTACTTTCAAATGGAATCTGCAGAGACCTACAGGCCTGTTCCAGAACAGCTTGCCTGCAGTCTCTCTATCTAACACACACAACCACTACCACGCATCCCAGAGAACATTTAAACTATATCCCAGGTGGTGAAAAAGATTACCCCCCTGCCTAACTCATAAAATGAATCTAGTTGGCAGATAAACCCCATCCATGACACTGCCCTGGAAAAGGGCTGTGTATCAAAATATACACAAAAGTAACTACCAATTCAATACCTAAAGCTGTTATAACAACTAAAAGCACCTGTAATATTACCATGGGTGTAGCTTTCTTGAAACAGGAAATGAGACATGGGGGTTGATTTACTAAAACTTAAGAGTGCAAAATTTGGTGCAGCTGTGCATAGAAATTGAACAAGCTGAAGTTAGAAGCTGATTGGCTACCATGCACAGCCTCACTAGATTTTGCACGCTCCGGTCTTAGTAAAGCTACCCCATGGCATTTAAAAAATGAGAACATCTTGAGTATCAGGTTCTTAGAATTTAACTAAAGAGTTAAAATTGTTATAAATGCTGAAGGTTTTTTACCTACATGCATTCAATGTCTCCAGCCATTGTTTTAATACAACAGCCTATACACGGTGCAATGCTGATTGATCCAGCTGAGGACTATCCATAGTGGTGAAGTAATGATCTGCCTTTGAATGAGTACTTACATGCGTTATGAGGTAATGAATCTTTTTGGATCCGGTCTCCTATTGGACATTTTATTAGGATAGTTCCCCATGTAATTAGTATCTCCATTGCCATCTGCACCATTAGTATAGGAAACACTGCCGTTTAATATCTTCCCTTGATACAGCTAGGTGTTTGCCTTTACTCGCTTTCAGTATACCACAGGGAATATCAAGCTCTAAGTACCTGATATCTCATATGAGATGGCAATTATATAAATCGGCTTGTACTGGAGCGTTCCCTGTAGTACAATTTTGTGGTATTAAAAAAAGCAAATTGTGCTGATTCCAATACTCAGTATTGAGTGATATGCATGTAGGTATGACTGTAGTGTGTGACAGCCTGGGCTCAAATGGGGAAATATTGAGGTGACAACGTTATCAGTCCCTATTTTAAAAGTTGTATGGGAAGATTCATTTATATTCCCCTTTTGTTGGTGATTCATTTTTGATATGTGATCTGTATTTAACCACTATCCTACAGGGCACTTATACCCCCCTTCCTGCCCAGGCCTATTTCCAGCTTTCAGCGCTGTCACACTTTGAATGGCAATTGTGTGGTCATGCAACACTGTACCCATATGAAATGTTTATAATTTTTTTGAGACAGATAGAGCTTTATTTTGGTGGTATTTAATCACCTCTGGGATTTTTTATTTTTTCTTAAACAAACCAAAAACCACCAAAAAGTTTGAAAAAAACCCTGTTTTTTTCTTAGTTTTTGTTATACAATTTTGTAAATATGTGATTTTTTTCCTTCACTGATGTGCGCTAATGAGGCTGCAGTGATGGGCACTGATAGGCTGCACTGATGGACACTGATAGGTGGCACTGATGGGCACTAATGAGGAGGCACTGGTAGATTGCACTGATGGGCACTGAAAGACAGCACTGATACATGACACTGATATATTGCACTGATAGGCGGCACTGACTGGCACTGATAGGCGGCACTGACTGGCACTGATAGGCACTGACTGGCACTGATAGGCAGCACTGATGCGCACTGATAGGCAACACTGACTGGCACTGATAGGTGGCACTGATTGGCAGCACTTATAGGTGGCACTGATTGGCATTGATAGGTGACACTGACTGGCACTGATGGGTGACATTGAAAGGCAGCTCAGATGGGCACTGATATGTGGCAGTGATGTGCACTGGTATGCACTGATATGTGGCATTGATGTGGCACTGATGGGCACTGGCACGTGGCACTGATGGGCACTGACAGGTGGAACTTCTGGGGCCACACTGATCATCAGGGCACACTGATCATCAGTGCCCTGATGATCAGTGTACATGTCCCCTCCGCGGAAATCCGATTACCGGCTCTCCTAAATGCCAATAACCGGCATTTCCGTGTTTACATGTGATCAGCTGTGATTGGACACAGCTGATTACATGACCGAGCGACATCTTCGGCTGTTTCCGTGATCCGCTTTGTCCGAGGGACACAGCACACCGGCGATCGCCGCGCTGCGCGCTCCCTGAGCCGCGCATGTGCAGTGAGAATGGTAGGACGTCCTGTGACGTCCTATCAGAATGAGAGAAACCACCTTGCACCTGTCATTGTACTATAGGGCGGGCGGAAGGTGGTTAATAAAGGTTGTTTTTTTTCCATCTTTTCACAATATGCTGCAGTTGGTTTCCTTGTGAGGCTGCTTTCTATAGGTTAGTGCCTCTTTAGTGCTATCTATTTAAATTTTTGGTTGGTTTCTACCTTCATGCATTCTATGCATGAAGGTAAAAAACCTTCTGTGTGCAGCAGACCCCTAATACTTTCCTGAGCCCCCTCTCGATTCAACAATGTGCACCAGAGCCTCTTCTGTCCCCATACTCCCTCTCTTTCTTTGATGAAACATCAGCTAAAGTCATTTGCTCCCACTGCTGTCAATCACAGCCAGTGAGCCTATGAGGAGAGAGTGGGGGCTGGGACGTGGTTCTATGTGTCTTATGAACACATAGAGCTGGACTCGGGAGCGAGCACGCGCCAGTTCCCTCCATAGCAAGCAGCTTGTCACTGGAGGCACTGGTCAAGGGAGAGGAGTCAGGAGTGCTAGCGGGCGGACCCAAGAAGAAGAGGATCGGAGCTGCTCTGTGCAAATTCATTGCACAGAGGAGTTACGTATGACATGTTTATTTTTTTAAAGTGGAGCCTTTAATACCACTTTAAAGTAGAACTATACTGTAGTGCACATCATAACGAATAATACATCTTGTTAGTCAAATCAACTATAGTATTTTCATTGCCTTGAATTTCCTTTGCAAAATGTTAACTGTACCACAATTTCTAACAGTCTATTCCCACTTCCTTTAATGATGCTGCAGGACCCGATTCTGTGTTGCTGTCCCTCCTGCGTCGCCCACAGCACAGTGAAATAACAGCGGGACATGCTTTAAGCGTAATGCTCACATACCTAATGAAAGAGTGCTGAATGGCTACAAAATGTTTCACTATGATGTGATCTCTCAATAAAAAAAAAACGTTGCTTTCAATCTAAGATACAGTATATCTAAGATATAAGATATATTTGAGGTGTGCTGGCAACAAATTGTATCTGATTCTTACATTTGCTACACTGATTTAAAAACAAGAAACATTAAAAGGTGATCAAGTTTGCCAAATTTTTGTGCTCATGCTGTAGAAACAAACCTGGAATTTACCTTAAGATTGCTGACCTTTGTATGGAAGTGTTTTAGTCTAAAATGATATATTCTTTGTTGTGGAGATTTGTTTTCTTTTGAATAAAAGATAATGGGCTCCATTCACAAAAGGAACTTGCATGCTGTATTTAGGTGTCTGGACACATTTTCCCTAAATATCGCATGCAATCCTGACACTGTCAATTCATTATACTGTTTATAGGTATTTACCGGAAAATGCTAAAAATGCTCTGTAAATACCGCATGAAAAGGCATTAAAGTCAATTCACAGAAATAAATGATTAAATACATGCAGCAATTAAGTAGTAGACCAGGCATGTAGTATCTTAGAAATGTAAAAATATAATAGGCAATTTTAAGTAGTTTCTGCCTTTTTGGATCAATTCTCTTAAAAGTAATGCAGAGAAACCTACATATGGAAATCACTGGGTTTGATTTACTAAAGGAAAAACTTTTTTAAGTTGTAGATGGAGTGGAGGTAGATTACAACACCTGTCAGGCTTTTATTGTTGTCTGTGCTCCTGTTAGATTAACCTCTCTATTCCTCCTGTTTACCATTAAAAGTAAAAGAAAATCACAAATTTTGGGTTGTCCCCAGAAAAAATAATAGAGGGAAAATCTTCCAATGGCAAACAAATAAAAAATAAAACTGCCAGGTGTTATAACTCTCCTTTATTCTATCCAAAATAAATTAGTGTTGCTTATAGTTCTACTTAAGACAAATAGACTGCAATTTTCAAGTTGCTCCTGAGTTTAGTACATGAGGTAAAGCTTCACTTTACAAAGAATATCCAATCACATGCCAGAGAAACAAAACTGCATTTTTGCTTGCACATGGTTGAATGATGAAAGTCAGCAGAGCTCCCCTCATTTGCTAAGCTCTGGAGCAAAATCACTTTCAAAGTGGTCAGTCTATGTGCCTTTAGTAAATCCACCCCATTACATGTAGTAAACTACATTTATTTTCTGCTGTCATTTTAACCAGATTTTTAGAGACTTTTTGTTTATATATAGGCATTTACATAATTTGCTGCAAAAAACTCCCAATCGCTCCAAACACTGTAATACAATGTGCATGCATATCCCAATGGTCTAATCCTTTGTTAGCACATATGTCAAATGTAGTTGAGGATACTTTACTTTTATACAATTATTTTTAGAGATATCTTTCACCTAACAAGTTCCCACTGACATCTTTTTTAGCTGTTTATAAGGGGGTAATTCTTTCCAGTGACCACAAGTGTATAGGATCATTCTTCCCACTGGCCATCACACTAATGTATCATGAGTTGTAGATATAGTCATTTTTAGCCAGGGTTTCCTGAGACTGGAAAGTTATTTCAAGGGTTCCTCCAGGGGTGCGAACTGACAACTCATGGGGCCCCCGGGCAATAGGAGATCATGGGACCCTCTGTGTCCCTGCCCACACTTAAGCCACACCTACACAAAGCGCAGTGCTGAATAGCAAAAAATGAAGGGGGTAAAATCTTCTGCAGGTCAAGTGGTTAAACTGAATTTTAGTGCAAACAAACACATCATAGCCAATTATTTGGTTAAATATAAAATATTGTGTTGCATCGCGTAAATAGATGCCCTGAATGTTCAGTCCTAAAATATGTTACCCAAAATTCACCAAACCACTTCCCAGCCATAGACAAAAGACAGAATTAATTTTTTTTTTAATCTAATGCTTTGTATTGTAGAGAAGAGATGTGGGGTATTATTATAAAGAGGACCAGGCACTGCTTATTTCTATCACAAGGGATGTTTGCATTCTTTGTGATAGGAATATAAGTAATCATTTTTTTTTATATAAGGGACGGTGTAAAAATAAAAAAAGTAATACAATTTTTTAAAAAATTTAAAGCGCCCCATCCACCCGTGGCTCTAGAATTATTGCTCTCACTCCAACATTACTGACGGTGCCATACATGTGTGACGCCATTGATGTTTACATATATGTGGTTGCCTTATATAACGCTTTTTGTATAGGGGGTGTGTGTGGGGGTCATGAGCGTGCTTTACATTTTTTTTTTTTTTATTTATAATTTTTATTTATTTTATATCAATTGTTTTGCACTTTTGTAAACTTAATCACGTTATCTATATATGATAGCATGGGCAGGTGACAGGTACTATTAGACCCACAATGTCTCTCACGAAGTAAAATTTAAGATTTTTTTTTGTTTCACTTTCAATGATAATGGTAAACAGGACAAATAGAGAGGGCAACAGGACAAATAGGCGAATCTTCAAATTGGGGACATAGACCACATTAAAAACCTAATAGGTGTTCTAATGCCTCTCCACCCTATCCAAAACTAAAAAAAAGTTTTCCTTTAATTATACTTTAAGTAAATACAAAGTATCTTTCTAAATGTCAAATATTGAATGAAAATAGTAGCAAAAACCACACACATATATAAATACCCTTCTTCCACCAATAAAAAAGACAACATTGTCTTTTTTATTGGTGGAAGAAGGGTATTTATTCTGTATATGTGTGATTTTTTTTAATACTATTTTCATTCAATATTTGACATTTAGAAATGTATTTTGTTTTTACTTAATTTAAACTTAGTTGTTTTAGATACACCACTTGTACCCTGTGAAAGCAGCTTACCTTTGACTGATAATCATGTTACTTTTTTATTTTGTAATAATACATTTCCTGCAGGGAGTGCACTGACTTAGTGAGTTGGAATATTTCTATGGTTTAAACCATGTTACGTCTTTATTAGGAATAAAAACTGACAGAGGTTCTAATCCTTCTCCGCTGTATCCATCCCACTGGATATCACAGGAAATAAAATACCACATAGTTTCATGAGATAAACATCACATATTTCAGAAAAATACCACATGCAGTATTTTAGTAGCATTTTCTTGTGATTGCCAAAATACTTTTTAAAAATGCTAAGAGGTATTTTACTGCAAATTTTTAAAAAAGAAAATACCACTTTGTGAATGTAGCCCAATATTATATGCAAAGCCAGGGTTACAAATGCAGTCTGTGAGTGAATAAACTGATTCAACTAGCCTTTATTTTTTTGTCAGCATTCTGTGAATCTTTAACCACTTGAAAAACTTGTGCATAGGAAATGCATCCTAAAAAACTTCATCAAAGTTCTAGGGCTCTTGTGTCCTCAACTCCCTGCTGCCCCCCCCCCCCCACATCCATTATAGCCCCTTTTTAACCCTTGACAGCGACAATTAACTTTTTTGTCCTCTTCTTCCATTAGTTATTTTTCTGCTGATGTTTTTCTATTTTATTCCACTGCTGTTTATTTTTTTAATTATAATTCAATTTGCGTCTTGTATTTTTCAGTATTGCACTTGCTGTCAACAGAAACATAATTTAGGTGTCATTATAAATGGGGCGACTTATAGAATAAAACAAATAATCTTCATCTACAATAGTACTAATTATTTTGTCTATAAAAATAGGAAATTAAATAGTTTTGCCAAACAATATAGCCAAAACAAAGCATTGCTTGTCCCAGAAACAAATGCTGTTTATTTTTCATTATAATTACGATAATTAGGTAAAACAAACAGAC